GGCCAGTTTTATGTCCAAGTCGCATCTCGGTGAGTCCAATGTCCGAGTCACATCTCGGCCAATCCAATACCCGAGCCATGCCTCGCGGCCAGTCCAATGTCCGAGTCTCATCTCGGCCAGTCCAATGCCCGAGCCATGCCTCACGGCCAGTCTAATGTCTGAGTTGATTCTCGGCCAGTCCAATGCCCGAGCCATGCCTCGTGGCCAATCCAACGTATGAGTCGCATCTCAGCCATTCTGATGCCTGAGCCACACCTTGTGGCCAATCCAATGTCCGAGTCACATCTCGACTAGTCCAGCTCCCAAATAGAAGCTCTTGATCAATCAAACGACTGAACCAACAATCCCAGCACGACAACCAACCCAGCCAACGAAAGGCACGAAGCCATGCCCCGAGCCCCTCCACGAGGAACTCGGGGTATGCCTCTTTGGAGGGGGAGAGAATGACAGGGCACATTTTGGTATCGCTCACATAGACGCAAGCAAGCAGACACGACGATGTAAATGTGAAACTTCAAATCTGATGTGGCACGTAGCACACACGTGGCGGGTAGCCGCTTGTCACCCCCTCTGTACGAACGATATCATCATGGTATAGTCATCTCGGAAAGCTTGGGGCAGCGCCGCGCGACGCCGATCCGTGCAGGTCGGTCGGCGCTCGCACAAAAGCTTAACTCGGCTGCCCGAGAAGCCGCGCGCAGTTAATTGACCCTATACGGCCAACTCATCCTTGTATGTATAAAAGCTAACCCTCCTTGATCAGGAGAGGACACTCAACTCTCCTTAACTCCATAACACTGACTTGAACTTTAGAGGGGTCGAGTTGGGAAATCCCCCTCCTGACCTCGACCTTTGTATAGAAACTGACAACGAAGTAACAACAACCTGTCGAGGGAGAACCATTCTCGGGAGGCGACGTTTGGATCTAACTCGATCCGATGTCGATGTGACTCGAGCATCCACGTGGACAACCTTATGTATTCGGAACTACAATGAGCCGTGCTGAAACCTTGCGTAAATGAATGTTCCTAACACACTGAGAAAATTCCCTGGTTCTTTCGAGGACTACAAGGAAGACCTTAAAAGAGAAATAAAAGCAGAGGTGATGGATGATGGGTACTGCTGTGAAGTGAGTTAACAAGTTGATTCCAGCTCCAGACTTTTTATGCTCTTCGTAGTGTAACATTGATTCAAACAGGTAAAAAAGTGTCCACTTGAATGCTTACATAGACGATTTGTTGAGCCTACTTTTCTGCTGTAATACATTAGATAATATTAGAGTTGCTATGGATGGCTTCTTTTTTAATTGACTGTAAATTCGTATGAAACATGAGGTTCAACATTTTTCTTATGTTAATCTTGTTTTAAGGGTGTCAATACACTGAGTAATCAATTCAGCCAAAAATCTACATTTGGATTGATTCTGATATTTTCTTAAAATAAAACCTTTGCCTTATTTGGACTGATTCGTTTATGATCAAGGAAAAATAATTAACAAATTTCCTCAATTTGGCCTACAAGATAGGCATGTGATTAAGTAATAAATTAATTAATCCAGAAATAAAAAGAATTCTATATTAAGGGTTTTGCCTAAATAGGACTAATTCATTTTTCTTGATTTGTGTAACTTAATTACGAACTATAGATAAAAAAGAAATTGTCTGAGCCCGGGTTCGAACCGGGGACCTCTAGTGTGTGAGACTAGCGTGATAACCAACTACACCACCCAGACGACGTTGAAACTGGGCGACCTAACATATAATTTTAGTTGAAAACTACGGCATTTCGCGACAAGGACAAGGAGAGCAGCTGGCTGGGGGTATCGTATGGCATGGCGGAGGTACGGCCCCATTCTACTACTACTGGTACGTACACTGGGTTGAGGACATGAGTGTTCAAGGCTCACTGCTACTAAGAGGTACGACGTACGGTATCGACAATTCTCAACTAAAGCTATTGATGATCCAAGAGACAAGCCTTGGACTTCAGTGGACGACAATATATCTTGGATATAGTTGTGGCAACCACTGTGATCGTAAGTCCTTTGCCATGGATGCGATTAGGTTCACTTTTTCTTATTTCATAATGATGTACTCATCGAAGATCGCTAGAATGATCTGCAAGCATGGAATTTTTTTCCTCACTAAAATTCCATGATTTTGTCTGAGTACGAAATGTGTAGTAGTACTTTTATCCCCATGGTTAGAAATTTCTGAGTGGGTCGAAGAGAGCCAGCCTACGTCTACTACAAGGAAAAAATACCAAAAGGAGTCTAATCAAATCATATTGCCAGATTAATATTCTCACCAAAAAATTATAACTCATAAAAAAGTCTAATTAGAACACGTAAAGCTGTGTTGCTGTTGCGCATGTTGCCTCTCTCTCTCTCTCTCTCTCTCTCTCTCTCTCTCTTTCCAGGCAAACTTTATAAAGAATCACTCAAATGTGCCAAAATGGCTTAAACACTAAAACCAAAATGAAAAAAAAAAAGAACATTACGATTGTTCATCAATTGAAGAGATATTTTAAGAGAATTGATAGCACAATGAAAAGAAAACTTGAATAACAATTTGAGAACAAAGATAGTTGTCATCACTACAGAGACCTCCATCATAAATAACAACTGAATTAACAATTTAACTTGAGAAAACAGGAGGTCTCACCAATCATCGCATCTCTGTTCCAAAAGTTCCCACAAAGTGAGTCTAGAAATCCAAAACCCTGACGAACCAGTACAAACAGAGAGATCATAGGGACCTTTTCAAGGAACAATGTCCTTTGAATGCTTTATTAACATGCTCATTAAAAGAAAACATAGGACTCGTGATGTCATCTAGTGCCCTGATTTTTCTCCAACCTGGAAAGGGAAAAGGAGTTAATTTGATATGAGATAGGTTTAACTTTATACCATACCAAAATTGTTCAAAATTAAGCTGAACATATTGTTGTAGAAATGAGTATATACCATAAGTAAAGAAAAACAAACAAGTCTGTTATGCATGATGAGCAGAACCTATGTTAAATCAACAAGGTACAGAAAAAAGTATATAGGTAAAACTCATGCATGCATGACAAATATTCATAAGTGGATTGTCACAATCCGGCCTGATGACTCATTGGCTTATGGTCCTAGAACCATGTGATCAAAATTTTTTAGAATTTTTAAACTCAGTTAATAGTATTTCGTCAATCTGACCCCTATGAACCAACTCAAATCTCCTCCCACTTCCGATATGGGACATAAATAAGGGCATTATAATTCTTTCATTTAGGAGTTTGGCATCCTCATCAAGGTCAAACATAATCCAAAATCAAACCCTCACATGAGACCCAAGAGGCATAGTCCATAGTGGTGGCTCCACTCATAATGTGCCTCTAATCTCATCCACCAATATTCTCTTTCTACTTGAGTCTCCCACCATGTTTACTACTAAATCGATTTTGATATCATTTGTTATCACCCTAAAACCATAAGACCTAAAATGCTTAAGCACAAGTTGTCTAACTCTTACAAACCAATTCAAATCTCCAATCACATCTGATGTGGGACTAAATTAGCAATTTTTCATGTATACTATTATCAAGATATTCAAATGAATGTGAGGCACCAATTAGCTTTTTCTTTTCTTTTTTTTTCAATGGGCCTATGTCTAATAGAATTATTGCAACTTAATGAAGTTTGTGTTAAATATTTTAATGACCAGACATGCTATTAGCAGATTCTTAGATGATGAAAATTTTGCTAAAAAAATGAGTATTCAGTACCTCTTCCTTGTTCTTCTTTCCACCAAAAGTCTTGTATGCCCCATAAAAGATCAAACCCCAACTGGCAAGGCTGACAAGTACAAACTACAAGAGAATATACATAATTTGCACACAAACTTCTACATAAAAAAGTACATTGTAAATCACAAGGTTTTTTAAAATTTGAGACAGAAGCAAAAACAAAAAGGCAAAGTACTGCCTTCACAAAGTTCTTAAGATAAATGTATTAGCACTAGCTTCTGAAAGCTAGATAGAGTTGAGAAAACCAACTTAAATAAATTATTTTCATGAGATCATAACCCCTAAGAATGATGAAGTCCCAAACAATTTCACCCATTTCCTGATTTGATTCCATTACTCACTTTGATTCGCAAAACAAAAAAAAAGCATCAATGCCTTTCAAAATCTGAAACTTGGTTTTTTCAGAAAAGGTGAAGAGAAGTGAATCTGACCCAGTCAATAAGTAAGAATATTGCACTTCAAAACAAGGAGCAGATCATCAAGCATAAAGAAAAAAGAAAAAGTATGTTGTTCCACAAATCATGGATAAATATCCAGTAAGGATGGAGGGAGAGAAAAATAGTAAACAAATTACTTCAAATAAATTGTTTAAAGAAATCACTATTGTAAGAAAAAAGGAATCGAGACTGAGCTCTTGCATTTACATCACTTCAACACCATCAGTAAAAGTTTACTGGTCATCCAGTTTATTGGCCATTGAACTAAACCTTGCTTCTGATAACACATTTTCTGAGTTTTTGTTGTATCAACCATACTTCAGAGGATAGACAAAAGGTGCTCTGTAACTTTTATGCATAATCAAATGAATTAATGTCTCTCCTCCAATAACCATAAAAAACAGTTCGAACTTGGATTTCACATGCATTAATAATCTAACTTTAGCACATACAACTCCATCAAACTTAAGTTATAGAGAAACTCATGAGAAAACAATTTTCACCTGGTATAACTGAAGTTGAAAAATGATACACTTCGAGGATCTTTTCCTAACTTGCGAGTGAACTTTCTTCATTTATTTTGAGAAATGCTAATGAAAGCAAATCATAGATGATGAAAATAAACCAAAAGGAATACTGATATATGATGTGTTTCGGTACACATATTTATTGAACTAAAATCAGCAAAAGAGCTCACTTTTCAAGCTCTTCAGAGAAACAAACAGTAAATTACTAGCTTGGTTGCAAAGTTTAACCTGAACTCATGAAGCCAATTACTTATGAACTAACAGCTCTGATTGTTCCACACTAAGAGCAAAAGTGTAAAGCTCTGCATAGGTAATAAACATATTAACTCCTCTCAATATCCTATTTCAGAAAATCTAAAACTCTAAGATCACTTATTTCATTTTTTTCAGAAGAAATTAGATATTACGAATGTATCAAAAGATTATAGCAATTTCACAAATTCCATTGTGCCACTGAAATAGGCTTAATGTGCATCATGAAGCCGCAAAATAATAACTCTTGGAGGGACATAATTAACTTGTTTGCTATACCGCATCAGAATAGCCTCATATCACAGTGTCTTAAGTTTGCAAAAACTAAAAAGATCAAAACATCTTCAAGATCTATACAGTAGTTAGAATTTAGCATTATAAAGTTTTTCACATTATAGTTAGCATTTATATCATGGTTTGAAATTCTACTGTTTTCAGCTCCTAATCAGATTATTCCAAAATTTTAATTAGCTGCAGGTGATCCCAAATACCTGAATTTCTAAAGGCTAAACTATTCTGGCTCCAAATCACCAAAGGCAATCAACAGATTCAAACAGCTTCAAACAGTTCCAGGAGTTCCAAGTCGATCTCAATTAATTATGTCATTCCTCTTGATTAATTATGTCACTCCAAACGGTTCCAGCTTCAAACCCGGGCAAACATTGTTCAGAAATTAATTTGGCTGATCTAATATTTGTCCCAAAATATACTAGTATTCTTAAACAAGGCCTTTCAAACCTTCATTAATGGTTATAGGAGAGTAAGAAATATTTCTACAAAAAGGAACAATTGGGATTTTTGGATGATAGAGTTGTAAACACAAATCAAAACCATTTAATATATGGTTTAACATAGATGTACAGCATAGTTAAAAGTTAGAAGGTGTCTTATCACCAATAAAATACTTAATATCCAGCACTAAATCTTTATCTCTCCTCTTGACAAGTCAAATGCCTAAAATCGTTTAGCTTTTGATTTATAAAGTAGGTATTATATTCAATTTGAAACTTACATGTTCTTCCTTCCATTTAGATGGACTGAGTGGATCTTCCCAGAAGTTGACCTTTGGGGGTCCATGATGATCTGCAGAAATGGTAGGTAATAAATAATATGATAAGAACCATGTGACCAGATTAGTTCAGAATATGGCTATATATAACATATAAGAAGTTAAAATATGAAATCCAATTTCATGATAAATTATCAGTAAATCAAGTGAAGATTATCTTAACAAACAGAAAAGCTTACCAATGAAAGTTGGTAAATGATCAAGAACATTTAAGTTACACCCAACTGAGACCAAAATCAAGCTCACCGCCATTTCAAAATTGTAGTACGAGTAAAGAAAGAAGAATTTTAGCTTACAGTCTTGTGGATCATGGATTATCGTATAAGTTTGTCAAAAACTGAAAAACGAAAAGAAAAAGGAGAGAGTACTTTCCTTGAGACATTAGTAGGAGCAATTATCTGTAAGTACTGGGTATTAGACTCCTGAACTCAAATTTTAAACAGATACTATTTGAAATTTGAATATTGTGTTCGTGCTGCAGGGTTTGGGAAATCAGAAGTGATAATCCCATTGACTCCCTTGCTCTTTCTTTTCACCTATTTCACTGCATATTCTCCTATTACCTGATTTCTTTAATATAACATTTCAATTTCCCTCTTCCTAAAGTTAGATGTCGGTCGTCCTTATACATTCTTGCTTTTAAAATAGGACCTATACAGAAACACAAATGTTTCATCCAATTAAACAACGGTTTGGAGATTGGCCTTTTAAAATAGGCCAATCTCCAAACCGTGCCCCAAACGATCATTCACAGTCATGGGTCAACCAGAAAGGTCCCTACGAACAAAAGTATGCATTGTTCACGGAGACATCAACCAAACCCATCAAATCCCAGAGCACGGTGGATCCAACTCGTTCCACCACGAAATTCTTAATGGCTCACATGAAAACAAGGAAGTAACGCATAAGAACCACGAATTCGCCTATATCAAAATGGACTAATCGAGAAATTAATAAGTAAGATTTCTTGGTAAGGGAGCCCAAAAGAACGATCGAATCTAAGAATCGGAGCACCTGAATAGGGTTCGGATCTAAAAACCCTAGCGATCAAGACGGAGAACAAGAAGGGAGAAAGGTCCGGACCTCCGCCGCCGGCTAGGCCCCGGCGGGGGACGAGCCTCGCCGCCGGAGCGACGGACGATGAGCGGGAGAAGAACGAGGACGCCGCCGCCGCCGCGAGTGCCGCCCGCGCCGCCATAGGTGTATATGAGATCTCTTTTCTCTTCTGCTGTCGAAGCAGCGGTGACAAATTAAGCCTCCCGAATCAGGGTTCAACGCGGTATATATATAATTGGAGAGGACTGATGAGCAATTACTCATCTCTTTTGACCTTAAATATAATAATCCATAGAAACATTTATTTTCAGATAACTCCTTAACTTATTGCTATTTATATTAAAGGCCTCCAAATTTGATCCCTCCGTGTTAAGATGAAAGCGATATGCAATTATTTACCCATTTTAGATATTTATATCATAGTCCATAAAGTTATTTATTCTCTGTGTAAGTTCTCCAATTCTCCTCATTTACATTAGAGGCATCCAAGTCTAATGGAAGATTTATGTATGTTTCGCTTAACGTATTAATAGGTTAATATTAGTAATCTATTGGAGATTACGTTAATCTCAAAGTCGATAGCTTGATGTGCCACTATTACTTAATAGGAGATGTTTTGAGTTGGCACTAATTAACTTAGATTGGTAGTGTAATTATATTAAATCAATAAATCAAGTATTTCATATACTTAATATTAAACATGATAAGTATCTATGGACAGAATTGGATACATATCTGGACAATGAACCAGAGATATGTGTATATATATACATCTATATATATATGAATATTATCAGTAAAGATACCTTGTGATTAGCTTGAAATCACAGCAAGTATGTGAATAATATAGGTCAATATAGTAGCAGTAAAGTTTGCATTTACCTTCTACAGATTTATGCAAGTGAGTCCATTGTGGCATTTAGAGACCTACAGGGTAATCACAGATTAAAACTAGAATGGTTGAATGCTCAGCCACCAAGTGAATCAATAAGAATGATAATCTTGATATAGACAGATGAAATTTATAATGTAGGAGTAAAAATATAGCATTAATTAAAATTTTGATTAAGGAGACTTCCATAAGCATAAAAATAAATCAAATGATGATGTATATATAGGAACGCCAGGCCAAAGTTACCAACATCTCTTGTGAACCTAAACACAAGTTAATAAATGCACTCATTACATGCATCATAACCTAAACACAAGTGCTTACAGACTTGTATAATTTACTTAACACCAAGCTTTTCCATGTAAATAACAGTCTAGTTATGGCAACATAACCATAATCAGAAATTAAACATCTAGCCGACCCCAAACAAGCTGAGACACAACTTTGTTGATGATGATGTTGTAGAAATTAAACATCTAGAAAGATACAAGCAGAAATCTGTAACTAATACAACATGGGTTATAACATTACCAATCAATCCATATCCCAATCTATCAAAACATGGACATTGGCCAATAAAATTCACCAGGTATCCTACAACCTTTATGTTCTGAGTACATAAAGTAAAGAAGTTCCAGTTCCCACCAAGGAGAAACTTTCTCAAAGAAGTTGTACCTCAAATGACAAACCAAGATCTGAAGCACTACCATTCTTAGTCATACGGAATCTGAATGTATGCAGCATCACAGACAAAAGGAATGTCAGCATACATGACTTCTACTGCACACCTCATGCTCTCCAGCACTGTGAACAAGTAGCCAAATGCAACTGCAGTACAGAAATGCATCCCAATCTTGCCCCAGTATACAGCAAGCGGCATCCAACAGCTCACGGTCCCTATGACCTGGAGGACTATCTCAAGCAGCATCCCCATTACAACATGAAAACGGAAAAAGTGTGGCCATTCTTTCCTCCTCACAACCCCTAGGTAAGCAGCAAAGAAGTAGGCCATAAGGAACCAGCTCGGGAAGCGCCCAATGAATCCAAGGAAGGGGTAAGTAAGGAACTTAAAGTCCTCCAAGGATGGAGATGGTATGTTGTCCCAGCATACATCCATGTCTCATGGAGGGGCATAAGGTAAGGTATGCAGGCTAAAGTTCTCCACCACCACTTGGGCTTCTTCGTCATTGGAGGATAACGATAGCTCAAAGGGACATCGTTCGAAGCTCTAGGAACGATGTGGTTTCTGGGCCTTGCAGTGCAGAGCTTAGGGAAAATTGGCATCATATGTGAAAGGCTGCCATGATCACTTTGGAGGGAGGGCAACACATTTGATAGATGCATGATGGCCCAATCTGGAAATATGTAAACATTATAGAATTGAGAAAACAACATACTGCAATATTCCAGTCCGAATACTAAATAAGACAGAAAATGTCAATCACTAACTAGTTTGAAGAAATGTTAAGGCCGATGTACCAATATGTGTCCTTTTGGGCTGACAATTAGAATATTGTTATCTCAATCACTGTGCTTTAAAGAACATTTGAGTGAGAAACCATTAAGAGTAGCATAGACTTGCATGGTTTTGAAAATGCAATTACTAGACCAAGAAATTTTGCACTGAAATTAGGATGCATTACAAACTCATACTTTTCTCTCAATAATCTCTCTCGGAAAGCAGTACTTTCTTGATAATTTTCATACAACTTGATGTTCAAGATGACCTTACTCATTTAATTTACAAGTGAGAAACATCAAGTAAACATGAAAATATGCTTATAGTCCACAAAAACATAAAATTCACAAATTAATTAACTTCAATGTTGTACATTAAGCTGCAGACTGCACAAAATGTCAACCCCATATCAGTGGTCATGTTTCTGCACCGAGTATTGGAATGTCTCTGAGTATCTAATTCCTAAATCGGTAAAAACAGAACCACCAGGCATATGCACATACCTCTTCAGTGCAATTGATCAAAATCTTGGGAAGCACCATGCAACATCTTTATTTTTGGAGATGCAGAAATCGTCCGATGATGGGAAAAGTAAGATATATTGGGATTATTTGTTGTCCTGCAAGGCCCAGGTTTCATCGCCATGCTGCCTAATGTCACCATGCCTCCATTCAGAATCATGGCCTAATCAGCTGAACCAACACCATAGCTCTATACTCGTATTAAGAATACACAGATTTGAATTAGGAGCTGATTAACCAGGCATCATTATATGGTAACCACTGCATAAGAACAAACAGTATCACACATCAAAATCAGAGAATGACAAGCAAAGACAGGTTGAACAGATTCCACGAGATGATAGGAAAAATGATGTGTCCCTGTTTTCTAATTAAGCTATTATAGTTGCATAAATTTATTTGTGTAACTATAGTGGGGGCCACTACATTCATAACCATAAATGGATAATCTCACACCATCAATCTTTTAAAAGCTTGCTTCTTTCAAAATAAGGTGCATTAGAGTTTTTCATTTAACATAATAACTTAAAGTACACATGATTATTTACATTCTTTGAATCTAGTCAATGATTTGAGGTGAATGCTGGGTAGACATATCATACTAGCAATGCTAAAAGCATTTAGTTAATATGCTGGTAAGGTAAACTTAATGCATTTTAAGGTCTCTGTCAACATCATTTGCCAGAATGACTAAAGATCAAGACAAATTGCAGAATAGAGATAGAACAAATGTGAATACCATTTTTCCCCAAAGGACATGAGGTTTAGATTTTCTTTTAAAGCATAGTTCTTAATAATCTCCCACGTTCGCCCATTTGGTTTAACCTACAAAGAGAACAACAGCCAATTACTACACGAGTAGCAATTGCTGTCAGATATTACTAACAGACGCAAACTTCCACACATTAATTGGATTCATGATATTTGCTTTATTGAAGGGTATTAATTGGGTAATGGATCAAAGTTCATTTCAAGGTCCCATTGCACAGAACTCACTTTTGCATTGCCTACGTCATAAGTTGCATCGCATGCTGGTGCACAATATTCCCCATTTATTCAGAAATACATATTAAATGCTCTAGTGCAGTAATTTGGTTGAATGTTTTCCATGAAGCAAGTATATTAGTTCAGACCATTGCAATTAGATTTTCCATAATAGATTATCCAATTTTCCCTCATAGATTTTTACAAACTTCCCTAGTCTTTTCTCAGCACGGTTTTTATAAAGCAGTTTTAGATAGTTGTGATATATTAGGTTGTCACAATTCCATAATTCCTTTTCCTTTGAGAAAATAAAGCACAAGCTTATTCATGTTCTTTTTTCTGAATAAATCAATAAAACAAATCAGCCAAAAGTAGACTGTGTTGACAATGCACACACATAACACCATAATTTAAGCTCCTAATTTCTGCAAAACAAAGGTTATAGGGAAGCTTTACTTGTGTTCCATATGGGAAAATTAGCATAGCATCATCATCAGCCTTCCATAGCAAGCTAGAGAAGATAATGAAAACTTCCTCCAACTAAGACTAAGATTTGGTTCTTCAACCATTTTCCAATCTCTATAAATCTAATGTGATTAATGTGTACATGATTTTAGAAAAAAAAGTGAAAAGATGTGCATAATATATTGTGAACACCATTTCCTATCCAATTAATAGGAGGTTAGAAATCATTATTAAGAATTTAAGAGGGCCAAGAAATAGATCTGTTTTAAGAGGTTCTCAAATCATTAACAAAGGCTAACAAAATAAGAGCAAGTTCCAGATTGCTGATGTCATAGATGATATGTAGAAATTCCAAGATCATTCTTAAGTTTTCCAACATAATCATCAAAACTCAATATAAAATTCCTATTGTGTTTGGCTAGGCCATGTATGCTAATAGTCATCATGTTTAAATCAAAATACTGCAAACTGAAAAGATGGTAAACTTTTAATCACCAGGTTTTTAAATGAGAGGAAATATGTGGACATGTTTTTCTTGGTTCTTGGTGAAGCAGTTTGATCAGCACAAAAGACAATGATTAAGAGCAATGAGAAAATAAAATATACCTTGTATCATTACCATCTACAAGTGCATTGCCATTTTGCTTTAAAGTTCTCAAGCTAAACAACTTGCCTCATAAGACTAAGTGCAGTACAGTGAGCAGGTGATGCTAGACTATCCATCCCTGGACCAGATCTTCTTTTAAACACAACCATTTCAATAACAACTGACAGACAAGATGGGAGTAAGGCATAGCAAGTCATGTTTAGCCATTTATCCCCCAACCTGACATTCTTTTAACCACAACTACTCCAAAAATTAAACAACATTATTTTCCTTGAACTGAATAGGATGTCAATACTTTACTTTTTAAAATATAGTAATAAATGATTTAAAAAAAACTATGTAGAACAAAAAAGAAAATGTTCATTTATCATTCTCACAGCCAAAAGGCTGAAAACAACATAATAAGAGCTCTGAGAAATGTTGTCAAGAAAGTGTGACAATTATACAGGCACCACTTTTAGACAGACTATTAGATTTGGACCACAAAGTGTACGATTTTCTCCACCAGTGTACTTGAATATGTTTACCTTGTGTTGTTAATGACCATTCAACTAGCTAGTGGTTGAGCAGAAAATTTAGCTGAACCACCTGGAGCTCACTCAACTCTTGACAAGCCAAGCTTGACAAAGGCCTAGCTTATAACAATTTCCTGTATCATAGGAATAATGTGAATACAGACATCATTAGGAACTATCTGAAGCATGGGTTCTTTAAGTAAGCAGGTAACGAAAAGAACCCAACTTGCAACCTACAGAAACCAATAGGGCCAATCGCCACGATGAGGACAAAAGCACCAGAGGGAGACAAAATGTAGAGGAGGAGGCGAAACGGTTACCTCAGCGACAAGGATTTTGTGGCTAATGTTGGTCGCCGCAGGCGGCGGCAGCGGATTTCTAGAGGGCGGAGGCCCTCGAAAGAGGTGGGAACGAGTGGATCGAGGGAGGCGCTGAGGGCATTGGGTTTTATTTGGTACGGACGATATTTACATATCTATCCTTCCGCAGTATATAAATACCATATCGAATCCTCCAAATTTTATTACTGCATATATATCGCTTAAAAAATAGATTTTGATTATATATATATAGTTATCAATGAATCTAAAAAACATAAATTTTAATATCTAAAATATATTTTATTATTATTACCAATGACCTCTCAAACTTTCAAATATCTTTGAATGAATATTAATATTAATTTAGAAACTAATATTAATATGCTAATAATCAAATAGTGAATATTAGTCATAACGGTTTAATCCATAATTTTCTTAGTTTTGGAGGGATATAAGTGGAAAATAATGTGGTTGACCCATATAAGCAATTCTGGGTACTTAATACTCACCTGCATCATTTACTTGGTTGTACATAGGATTGTTCCTTGACAACATCAAAATTGAAGATTTTAGATTGTTTAATCAGTAATAGTAACTTATTCCATAATAATAATAATAATAATCCATGCAGCAAAACTTAAATGACCGAGGATTTCCTAGTATTATTGCTACAATGATCATATTCCTTTTTTGTGCGTAATTCATTTTCAATATTTCAGCAAACATCACCAATCATTTGATTTAGAATATAACTCTTTTGATGTTTATTCCTTGTTTCGGCATATTGTTAAGGAACTATTATTCCTACTATAGAATACTAATTTACTAGACACTTCAAGAAAAAAGTAGAGAGTAGTATGTCTCAGTGAATCTCTCCCTTTTCTATTACTTTTGAGCAAATTTATGTTTACAAATCAGAATTTACTTGTGAACAATTAAGTATAACTGTGAAAATAAATAAGTAAATGAAATCATCTAAGATGGCACGAAAATGTTCAAAATAAATCTATTCGATTAGTATAAGTTGCACAAGGATGAGAAAATACTAAGTAGATTTTACTAGAAACAATAAACATATACTTTTCTGCTGTACCTGTGGAAGCACTGTAAGGTAAGGCAGCAGGATGAATCCAACAGAAGGGATCTCACACACTTCACAGATCTAAAAGGAAAATGCATGTACATCCATATATGAGTCACCAGAAGAACATGGAAGAATTTAATCTTGTCCTGGTTTCAGTATAAATAAAATGGTGCAGAAATGTATCTGCTACAGATGCCTGCAAAATAATTACCTAGTTTTAGTACAAAGAGCATTGCGTCCTTCAGAGACTAGGCCACAAGAACAACCAATAAGGTTCATTTGATCTATTACATCAATCAGTACTACCCTGCAATCACATCTTGAACCTAGGTAAATTAAATGCAAAATTTTTCAGGGAAAAACCAATGTATATGTTAAGTCTACAAATGCCTCGAATTCTACACATCACGACTGCAGACTTTGTCTGTTATATGGATTCCGCCCATCTGATAGATATTAGGAACAACACTTGCATTGGCCCCATATTTCTTTATCCATGCACGAAGCACTGTTGCAACAAAGGGTGAGAGTAGTCCACATACTTATCCCACAGACCCTTGTACTTCTCCATTCCAATCTTCAACCATGGTTTCATGTTCCCATTATAGTGCAATACTGCACCATTTTTTATAAGCGACATGTCGACGTTTGTGTATCCCAACCCTAGCACATGCCATTTGGCATCCAGCTTCTCAACCAACCCATAAAAGGCCAGTAGCCCAGGAGGCAATGTCCCAAGCTTCCAGAGGGTATGGTCGGCATTACGCTCCTGCCAGTAGTGATATATGCCAGTTACATTCTTCCGCCGCCACTCTCTCAGATCAAGGACATTCATTCCAAATGCCCATCCACATGCATCAGGATCAAAATGTGCACGTATCAATGGGTGGGAGTAGTTCAGATATTTGTGGAATCTGTGGAAGGTCTCCATGCAAGTCTCAACAGCACCCATCACATTTCCATTAATGTTAATTGTGAACAATTCTGAGAGATCTTTCTGAACTACAACATCATCATCGAGAAACACTACCTTTTGCAATGCTGGATAGACTTCTGGGATATAGAACCTCAAGTGATTTAGCATTGATAAGTACTTTGGGTTCCTGAACTTGACTGGTGTTCGGTTATCACCACTTCCAGAAAAGTAGTAGTTCTGTGTATCAGAGTTCTGAAGCTGCTTTAAAACTGGTACATAGGAGGCATTGAGCCAACTTAAATCCTCCACCTTCTGGACCTCGATGGTTGCACCTCGGAAACTGTTCATGGAGAACCAGGCCTTCATTGGAGCAAAATTCACCTCATCTGTGACCAGGTGGAATACAATCATTTCTGGACGCTTTGAGTTCATGGTAGTAGAGTTAACCACAACTGATGCAGCAAGGATGTTGTCAGAGAACACACAATAATGATAGAGACCGTTGTCTCTAAGCTTCTCCATCCTGTGCCTCCCTTCTGAGAGTTCTCTCTGAAAATTTGAATTCCTGAACCATTCCATGGTAAGCCTGATACCCAAGCAATATAGGCTTTTGGGAAGTTCTTCAGCAGCTATCTGCCCATACTTGGTGCTCTTTTCAGCCTCGGATTTCATTTTCTCATCCAAAGATTGGAATTGACCCTTCATCTTCATAATCATAGTTGCACTATCATAGTGGAGTTGCTGTGCTTGGTAGAGCAGGAGAGCCATATCACGGATTGCTGCTTCTGATTCTTCCGTGGTTAATGGGGTTCCTGTTGTCGCAGCACTGGACAGAAGAGCTTGACATTTGCGAATTTGGGCACTAAGCTCTGCTGCAAATTGGAGGTTATTGCTATCTTTAGAGATGACAACCAAAGCCTTTGCAAGAGATATTTGGTCTACTATTTGTCTTGTGAATGAATAAGGACTCAGCATTTCATCTGTAATGTTCAGACCTTCGGGAAAACTAGAGCGGTAAAGTTTCTGTGGCATAACATCAAGGTTTCAAGGGTTAGTAGAATGGATGGGCACATGAACCAGCTAGATACTTTAAAGAAAATGACAGCACAAAAAAGGAAGACCTTTTATTCTGCATTCATCCTGTTCATCTCAGGAGAGATGCAGTAACCAGAACTGTCTAAATTCCAAAACCCTTACCATGACAAAGAACAGTAATGTACTCAACCAATTAAGGAGAGAATAACCAATTCAGAGGAATTGTACCAAAGGATTCTTAAATAGATGAATGACAATACAGTTGATTATCCTGGTTATAGTAAGTTCAGGAGAATGTGAACAAAAAAAAGAAAGTTCAATAATTTCTGCCCAGCCAACATTGCAGCACAACTTATTGTCATGTCAAAATTTGTTTAATAAGTCCATCGCTATACCTTGGTTAGGTGATGTAACCTATTCTAGTTATGAAAGTCACTAATATATTAGCATTACGAATTTTCATGCATCATATGTGCCAGCGAATTCCAGCTAAACAACTCTTGATCCTCCTTTCTTTTATTGGTTAGCAGCACTTCAGTTCAATGCTGATATTGCAACTCACATGCAGGAATGGACTGTGCCGACAAACTTCTCAGATGTGTGTCCCTTCTCTGCTTTTCCAACTTCACAAAGTTCTTTCTTCTTATCTTTTATGGTTATTCATTTTTCTCCTTGTCATTATGTTGGCACAGGAATGGACTGTGCCAACAGCAATCATGCCAACTGTTAGCCAGCATACTTCTATGCCTTGAATTTGAAATCCTTGCTTTGCAGGCTTACCCATGCAGATTTCAAAGCACATACTCTGTCTCATGTGGAACATATCCACTTGGACGTTCAAAGGGTCACTAGTTTCACCAGACACATTGAAACCAATCACCTCCCAAAATTCATGATATATATAACATAGCAGGTTTTTTACTGCCAACAAAATCAGTCTACAATGCAGAAGAGTGATTTATAGAGCACATTTCTGTTCTACTGGTTTTGTGCATTAAGGATAAAGATGAAAAGGTGCTTGTCAATGATAATAGCTATTATGGAAAGATTTAAAAGAATATATTTATGCCAATTAATAAACATTTTATAGACAATTTTGGTTTACAAATAGGATAAAAGTAGAACGATATACTTGTTTGTAGAATTAGGGTGAGATAAATGAAGCATTGAAGAGAATGAAATTTGGTAACAGTACAGGAATGGATTACATATCTAATGAGGGTTGGAGTTCAGAAGATCTAAGTGTACTTTTGTTAACTAGTTCATTTAGCAAATTTTTCTTTACTAGAAATCTGATGATTGGATGAGAAAATAGTAGTATTTACAAATAAGGATAATTTTTCAACGCTCAAGTTATAAAGAACTTTAGCTAATTTACAGGATTTTCCACGGAAAAACCCCAATCTTAAACGAGTTGAGTTTACCTTTTTTCCTTTGTGGATATGGCACCACTCAAGTTATGCAAAATCTCTACCAAATGTAATCATAGACATAAACCAGAGAAAGAAAGGTAGCTCAAAAGGATTGATTCTTGAGCTTCCTTGACCCATAGTTTGCTCACAAGGCCAGTTCTCCAGATTAAATGGCAGAGTTCTGAAAATTAATTTGGTTATATGCTTCACAGATCAAACAAAAGAAACTATTTGGTTATTAAGACAATAATGAAAAGATCCTAGCAAGATGAAAGACTTACACATGATTTATTGAGACAATTACAATAGAGGAAGAGGAGGATGTGGCAATGAGGATGTGATAATAAAAGCGGAGCCATGTTAGAAATAATAGAGGAAATAGTAGTAAAGGAAGACGAGAACATGGAGGCAAACTCAACAAACATTGTGGAGGTAAGAAAATTTGTGGAGAAAAAAGAGGAAGTAGAATAGTAAAGGCCAAGGATCAAAGTGTCAACTGTTCAGGCAAAAC